GGAAATAGTCTCCCACGATCTGGGAGAGTAAAGCACTGACGTGATGGCGGATTCCGCAGCGTGGAACGTGGTCGAGTTGTCGCTGTATACGACGTCCGGAGTGCCCCTACGGGCAATAAACCTTCTGAAAGCCAACAAAAACTCCTGCGTGGAGTTGTCGAGCACAACTTCGAGATGTACTGCGCGCGTCGCCATGCACGTGAACAGGCTGATCCACACTTTATTAGAATTAGCTTGCGGATTGCTTATGGTGAGCGGGCCGAGATAGTCTACGCCGATATTTTGGAAAGGTCGTGACCTTTTTACTCGTTCTGGCGGTAACTGCGGCATATTAGGGTACCGATAAGCTTGCCCGTTGACTTTTTTACAAGCTACGCAGCCACGCAGAGTTTTCTGAACATACTTACGAATTGATGGAATGAAAAATCGTTTCCGTAGATTGGCTACGGTATGATAAACGCCTGAATGATGATACAAACTGTGATAATGAAGTGTTATAATACTTGTCAGTTTATGCACAGGCACTAATAGAATGGGTGCCACATCTACGGAGCCTACACGTGCCGGGCAACGGATTAGCCCATCTTGTGCTCGTTGAGCGTTGTATTGGGCCAACTTTAACCGCATTAAAAACGCTTCACTCTCGCGATAATGTGCGAGAATGAGTTGAACTTCAGCGGTATCCATGTCTGACACCGTTATTGACCTTGATGACGAAAGTTTACCTACGGAGGGCAATTTTTGAAGAATTTTATCGCGCGTACGCTGTTGTGCGCGGTCGAACAGTTGCCTACGCAAGAACTTGAGTACATAAACCGTGATACGGACAAGCTTTAAGAAATTATTTGTCACCGAAAAGGGTAACACCGATACGAACTTGCCTTCATGAACCGTCTGCACTGTCTGGTATTCACATTGCACTTCGTCACCCTCTTGCGGAGGGACTTGGAAATCAATTTGTGTATTGGGCCACTGAGTACAAGGTCTACGCAGGAACTGGGGAGCAGTCCACCAAATGTGATTTTCGGCCTCCTTCGTGGCAAGACCGCGAGTAGCACAGTCTGCCGGATTGTCCTCGGAAGCAACATAGTGAAATTTGACTGGTATACCCTGAGACTCGAATCCTGTCAAAATACGCCGGATGGTATCTACGCGATTTTGAACAAAGACCTTGTAAGGTTTCAACGAATGTATCCAATGTAATGCAATTAATGAATCCGAGAATATGTGTATGGCTGCGAAAGGCAAATTCAGATGTTTTACTAGAAATTGCGCCATACGTACGCTAATTAGGGCTGCCAGTAGCTCCGTGCGCGGAACTGTAACAGGTTTGGGATTGTTTTTGCGATTTTGCCATGACTAAGCTGGAATGTGTCGTGGTATGAGTACGATAAACCAGATAAGCGCAACAGGCATAGAGACGCTTAGAAGCATCTCCGAAAACACACAGCTCTAAAGCGCTAGGTTTAGGACTTACTGGCAAGACTAAACGCGGGATAAGCGGCAGTGGATGTTTTAAATCAGCTAATAGCTGATCCCATCGATCTAGCTGCGACCTGTCCAGGGGACTATCCCATCCCAGTTGCTGGATCCAGAGATCTTGTATAAAGATTTTGACTGGAGCCAGAAACGGGGTGAGCAGTCCCAAGGGATCGTAGGTAGATGCGAATGCTCGCAGTGCCGTGCGCTTAGTTTTGACGTTGATCTTCGATATTTTTACGCGAATATCCAATGCGTCTTTAGCAAAGTGCCACCGTATACCTAGCAGAGTAGCGTTAGATGGATTGATGGCGCGATCTTGAGCCGGTATAAGGGAGTTAACGCGAGTAGAATTGCATAAGAATTCCCGAAGGTTCATATGCATTCTGCTAAAGATAGACTTTACGAGTTTGTACTTGTTGAGTGCATCTTCCTGTGAAGTTGCTCCCAAGATGACGTTGTCTACGTAAGTATTATGCGAGATTTCGTCGCCTATGGGAGATCCTTCACGTTGAAGGTACAACTTGATGGCGGCCGCAAGCAAAAACGGTGACGCGTTGACTCCAAAAGGTATGCGTGTAAAGCGTAGAATACGTAAATTGACAGAAGACGGCGGCTTTGATGGATCTTTTAACCACAGGAAGCGAGTAGCATCACGTTGCGAACGTTGAAGTCGAATTTGATGGAATGCTTTTTCAACGTCTGCTATGAGAAGAAACGGATGCAAGCGTGCGCGAAGCAAAATGCCTACGAGATCAGGCACAAGCGATGGACCTTGGTGTAAACAGTCATTGAGACTGCATGCGCCTTTACGCTTAGAAGAGGCATCAAAGACTACGCGTAACTTTGTCGTAGAAGAAGATTCTTTGAAAACCGCCTGATGAGGGATGTAATAAATACGCGGGTCATCAAAAACGTATTCTTCGACATCTTCCACGAAGCCTGCAGAGATGTGGTCTTCAATCGCCTTTACATACTGCTGCCAGACAGATGGATTCTGACTAAGGCGCTGGAATTGACTTGAAAGGCGACAATACGCGAGTTGCTTGTTGTCATCCAAATGCGGATGATTCGCCTTCCAGGGAAAGCATACGTAAAGAACACCGTCACTGAAAACTGCCGTATCGTTAAAATCTTGGATTATAGTCTGCTGTAACTTGTTATCGACGGAAGGATCGTAGTCATCGGCTATGCCGAGAGCGTCCAAGGACCAGAGGCGTTCTACTGCGAGTAGTCCTCGTGCTTGGTGACTGACAACTGTGTTGGTCGGTACTTGCGGCTTTGCGGAGGCCTGACAGAAAAACCGAATTTTCTGAGACGACTGTGTCGAACACGAGTATGACATGAACATTGCCCGAAGGGAGGCGCAACATGGGCGGTATCGGTGACAGAACGTCCAGTAGTGGTCGATACAGATAAGGACGTCGGAACGACGACTGCGCACTGAAAAAAGGGCAACGGGAACCATGATCCTGAATGAACTCGATATCCTCCGACGACAGCGCGGTGTTAATTGCGCTACAGTAATGTTTGCTTAGTAGTGATGCTCCACTACGAGCCCTTATCGAAGAGTGCAAGTATGACTGACGTTACCAGAGCTTCTGTGGTGGACTGACACAACCCAAAACGTCGAGGCTGCACGTTGGAAATTTTAAGGGACAGACGTTTGCTACGCTTGATGTTATGAAGGTTCTTGCGCTCCGGAGTTCGAGGAATAGGTTATGATTGTGCGAGTCGCGCGGAGTTGCAGTGAAGCTTTGCCTTTTACAAGCATGAGCGATGCGAAATTGCCGGATTGAGTGAAATATTGATAGAAGAAGTACTATAAAGCCGAATTGAGACTAAGTCCGCTTGCGTCCTCAGACGCTAGAGCCTGAGTCTGTTGCGGATATGGCGATACGGAGTTTTGTTGACAGACGCCCCTTACGGTGAGAACTAGAACGTACACGGGTTGGTGACTGGTTGAGCGAGAAGAGGGTGGCGACCAGCGAGTTCTGCTCGACTGATACGTTACGGAGCTACGAACTGAGACCAAAAAGCATGTTCAGCTTCGAAGGGACGAAAAAAAAATACGAGCGTGTCGATGTTGTCTGTCGGATTACGCGAGGATTAGCGACGGCGGCGAACAGATGGCGATGGTTATTGTCTTCGCTACATCGCCTCTCTGCTCGAACTGCTATGGACTGGCTTGCGGTACTGGCGGAGAGAGCTCGTGATTGAGTGTCCTGCATGTCCGACAGAATGGATAATTACATAGCGAGATGAATGTGTCTTCTCGCAAGCGATTTCCACAGAGGATTAGAAATTTTACGAGAGTGCGTCGCCTAATGGTGAGTCAATGGGGACGGGTTGAACGATGGTCTACGGACCCGCAAAAACAACACGAAGATGAACTGCGTGAATGCTGTGGACGCGACGGTGAACGCGATGGAGTGCGCTGTGAATTTATTGCACCTACGGTGAAGCTAGTTGTAAGGGTGGTAGAGTCCTCGTATTTTTCCGTGGATGCGATGATGCTGTCCAACTTCTGCATGATCTGATTGAGATCAAAATCAGAGTTGGTTTGGAACTCGAGGTCATGTAACTTGCGCTGGATTTCCGACAGAAATTTGCTCTTGACCAAGTCAAGGAGTGGCAACACCGTACGGAAATCTTCGTATCTACGCAGCCCATGAAGAATACCGGATATACGAAACCAGGTATCACGCAGGTCCTGACCGTTGTTACGAGCTACGGGCAGTTGCTGGAGCTGCCTATGGAGAGTCGCACGCGTCTTGTACGGACGGTCGTAGCGCCTCTTCAAGGCCTCCACCAACTCAGAATAATTGCACTCGTCGGGGTCGAGGTCCTGGAGCACTACCTGGGCTTCGCCTTGCAACAAGCTTTGCAAATACAGAAATTTATAGACTGGTGGTGTATTAGGATCATTATGTACTGCGAGCTCGAAGGCGCACCAGAATCTATGGAATTTTGTAATATCCCTTGTGAATGGTTCCAACACAAGCTTGCCAAGCTGAACTGCAGGCTGCGCTAATGGTGCCGAAGGGAGTGGCGGAGTTGATATTGTGGGATGGAACTGCGTACAATACGGTGATGAATCAGATAGGCTGTTAGGCCGCTGCGGTAGCACGAAGGATCGTGAACTGTCACTCGCTGTTGACGCCGTTGCCGAGTGTTCCCGTAGATCTTCTTGAGCACGTTCGGGGACACTTTGTGGTGTGTCTGAAAATACAACATGCTGATTACTATCAATAAGCGCATTAACTTCTTGTAAACGTGCGCGTAAAGATGTAACAGTTGCCTCAGCTGCTACGATGGCATCGCTTACGCGAGACTCGTACATGGAAGATTCATGCGCACCACTATCTGCATCGTGAACGTCGGAACCTTTTAACAAGTTCTAGGAAGACCTGACGCCTTTCCGTAAGCGTACGTAGTGCTGTGAGTACCTGGGTTAGATAACGTTCGACTGTCGCTCGGTAAGCCTCAAGACTGTGTAGTGAGCTCATAGCCTGCGCATCTACTGGTTGGAATAGAGATGCGGGGATCTTACCTTTGATGGCTTCCCAAGCTGTGATCGCTTTGGTCATGTTTGCTTTGCTGGCATTGACGCTAGACATTGTTAGTATAGGCAGGAGGTAGTAACTGCCACACCCAATCTAAAATGGGCAAGAATGAATATGTGTTTGTCCGTAAGGTAGCTGTGGCCAGCAGCCCCCTACGGCGATTGACGGGTAACATACTGCGCGAGTCTGGCAAGGCAAGAAAAACCATATGTGAGAAGAAAAACGGCAATATACGCATCAACGAAGTTGGAGATAACAAGAGCAGCATAAAGGGGACTATGGAGCAAAAAGATTGCTAACGCGTAACAAATGCAGTGGTACATGCCAATATACACCTACGTATAACAGCAACCATGGTATCATGCCCGGAGAAACAACGGGATCATGTCCAGGAGGGTTCATAGTACGTTGACAAACGCACCGTCGCAACTAATCTCCGTCCGTACGGAGTTAACGCTGACTCGACGTATAACGGCTGTCCCTACGCGGGCTTGTGCCACTCAAGGCAACGTAGGTAAGAGCCAGGTCCCACACGGAGAAAAGCAGGGTAACCCAATAGCAACGTATGTGAATTGACATAGACGTTTGTATTTGTAAACGTAGTGTTTGCAGCAGCAACGGAGCCAAGCGGGTAAGCGGCGAGCGCGAGAGGGCTCGATCACTAAGGCCCAACGTGGGTTTCCCACACGTTGAACCCCAGTCCGATGCACCATGTCGCGCCGGCGCGAACGCCTTGCCTCCCGCATACGCTCGTAAGCATCGGGGTTCACCCGCGAATGAGGCGGCGTTGGCGTCGGCGCGAGGGTTCCATCGGGGTCTTATGCGGCGCTCGCCCTCGCCTCTTCGCCACTAGGCCGCGGGCACAGTTACCCTTTGGCCCTGCTGCCGCCAATTAGCGTCTCACACCGCTAACTGATCCATTTCATACATATTCCGTACGCACATGGCCACTCCATTCTTATCTATTTCCCAATCGGCGTATTAATGTCTCACGGCCCGGCCTACGAACCTTCTATTTAATCTACATGGACGTCCACATGTAGATGAGATACACTTGGACTAATCCTATTATATCAAAAGTAAACTGCGACATTATAGATTCATGTAACTACGATATATATAACGTTACAATTCTGAATAAATGTGAGGTACGGTGTACTTCACCGCCCACGGCTTAAAGGTCGAACCCAGATCTTAACTCACGGGGGGAGACGCGGTCCGGTCCGTACCTGTCGGGTTTCCATACCTGGTCGCTACTCTTATCCGAGTTGTCGGCTTACGGCAGACCAGCGGTCCTTGTTGGATGTCGAACCGGGACCAGGAAGTGCGGCGATGACGGGCCGCTACGGCGACGTAAAGTACGGGCGCAGCGGGGACGCGGCCACTCACGACGACGGCAGCTACGAAGACTGACTCATTCGGCCCGGCGTCCTCTGCGTCTTCATTGTTCCAGAAACTTCGAAGTGGCAGGCGCGCCAGGACCCACGCGCGCCCTACCAGGCGTGACCTTTAAGAAGTCGTACGAACGTCACGACAGGGTACAATAAAAGCAACCATACAAAGACACACGTTATACGCTGTCAGACTATACAGATGGGGGACTTAGAAAACCTAAGGTATATTTAGAAGGTGTCTTATCGTATTAAATTAACTTAAACTATCAATTTTAGTTTGTTTTTGCGTAAAAAAATAAAGGACAAGTACAAACACTCCTACAGATCCCGAAATTAATGTGAAAAACGCTTTCTCAACTATAAGGAATGTTCAGGGTGACGTCAAAGTAAGTTAAATATGACTTTATAAATTATCCAAAGCAAGATATTATGAAGAAAATTGAATAATTTTTAGAAATTCAAGTGTACAGAGTTTGCAATCTCCCTTGGTTGGCCTCTGAATGATTGGTTAGGAACACCGATTATCAAATTAATGTCCGAGAACGAGATTAAGGATTACGAGGTGAATATTACATTTAGCTTCAATAAACAACCTAATGAAGATGTAAATTAAGGACGGAAAATTGAAATGGGGAAGTTTCGATCTTGAGGCTTTTTTGAAATCTCAGCTGTTCAAAGAAAAGATATCCAGATGTGAATGGAACGGTCTCTAGCGAGGTAAATATACTTAATATAAATGGGTACTAAGACGAATGCATTAAGATGTGGACTTTTTGAGTTGATATGAGATCGTTAAGGAAAAAAGTCAAAAACGGAAGCACGACGATAGTGTATGTGATGAAAGCGAAGAGGGAACAAATTTGAAGAAGATTGCCCGTTGTGAAAACGAGCCTGAAGTGTCTCTTTAAGAGAAAAGTGTTGTTTTTATTTTTAATGTTTCGTTCCAAGATTTTTATCAGTGAAATTTGTGTTGGTTATCTAATAAAATTGAGACAAGAAGTGTATCCTTAATAATTGTAAATGTCTAGAAGATAATGGATACTTAAAAAAGAAGAGTAAGAACGTCAATCGACGTGAAAATTGGACCACCGGTCCCGAATAATTCACCACTGGTGACGAGAGGCGTTAGCCTCATGAGAAATAAGTTATAAAGAATGTTATATCCCGTAAGACGGAACTGGAAAAAACACTGACAACGGGTTGCCCTCGAAGTGCAGTGCATTCCAGCACAGTCACATAGAGAATGAGAATAAGTTCAGTAAGGTGGGAACTTGTAAAAAAAGAGTTAGGGTGTGGTTCGTTTCGCCTCTACACTCAGACGAACCACATATTTCGTGTACCCCCGAGGCTCATCAGTGAGTAAGGGTTGACGAAACAATGTGTTCCTACAAGAGTCTATGATGTGTAAAGAGTTGAGAAAATATAAATGGGTAAACATGTTCAAGTTAAAAGGATACACAAACAAAGCGGTTGTAAAGAGAGGTTATGTCTCGCAACGAAATAGGCTACCTTATATACATGCATTTAATACTCAGGGAAGCAATTAGCTGCCTTGTTACTGGAGCAGATTATTACTTAGAGAAAAAATAAACAGCACATTAAGCATAAGGCACAAATATGGAAGGAATAACTAGTAATTAATTAACTATAATTGATTAAAATAGAATTAGTAATAACAAAGTTAACAACGGTTAGAGGAAAAACTTCATACACTTAGTGAAAGATTTTATTTACTAGGTAACTAATTTTTTTTGAAATTGTTATATAACCCATATTTATAACAAATAAATTTATCTTTATAAATACATTTAAGTATATTAGAAATGATAAAACCGTAACTGTGTTCGTTATCAATGAGGACATTTATAATGTCCTTGACCTTGGTTACAAAAGTGTCAAACATAGTGCATGTGTTAGCAATTCTAAGTATTTCCGTATAGATAACCGCTCCTTTAATGGTATTAGAAATGTTAGTAAAGCTATGTGGGAATCTTAAAACTTTGAAGCTGAAGTCATCGGTTTTATTATATAATTCAGTGACTATTCTGTTAGTGATAGTGCAGATAGATAGGTCCAGGTAATTACTATGACTATCTGGATTGTGGGTTTTTTCAACTCAAGTTCATTTTGATAAACTAGAGTGAGCTGTGCATCGATATTAATTTCACTTTGATTATGTAATATTAATAGGTCGTCCATATATCTATACGGTATAAAGAGATTTTGTTTATCCAATTTAATATTTTTAGCAGAACTGTATTCCACATACGATAATGTGAGGTCAGCCAAGAGTGGCCTGAAATTACCTCCTCGTGGAACTCCTCTAGTTTGTTTGAAAATGTGTTCACTGAACACACAGTAGCTGTTTTAATAGGTAGTCTGTATAGTATAACAAATCATTGATTTGATAGTATCTATAATTGTTCTTGATATAATTCCCATCAGTATAAAAACGTGGTATCCATTAGTAGCTACATACGGTTTCCTGTCATTTGTGTGAAACATATATTCAAAATTTCTCTAACATTGCAAATAATGAAATTATATTCAAGGTTAGTAAACATACCTGTAAAATCAGCAGTATATACTAATCTAATCTTCACCCTTTGACATGGTATAGCTCTGAATAGGTGATTCGCTTGCCGCTGATCAGAACATGCATGCGCCATGCATTTGGCCCCCATAAGAAATTGCAGAGGCGTTTATACTTAGTGGCTACAGAACAATCCCAATATCTAGTGTTTGGAAGAAAGCTTTCAAGTTACTGATTGCTTTTGGTTTCAATTATGTCAACCTCAGAGGTCGAGGGATTGATAGGCTTCACCAAAATTGAATCCTTTGAAGCTGCAAGTGCTACGTAAGGCTTCCACCTACTGAATGAAGCGTTTCCGACAGCTATCCCTGGGACAAACAATCTGTCATGTTTTCTGTACATATACTATTCGGAGCTATTATAGTATACGGTGGTATCCATCAAGGCCAAGCCTAAGAGGTAGCAGGAACTTTGGGGAAATGAAAATTGCTCGCGTACCTTGAAGTCTCTCCCTCGTTGCCTCAGACTTGTGCTCGTTTTTAAAAAAAAAAGAGATGTCCTACGCAATTTCCATCTAATGCCCCCATGGGCGCAATGTTTCTCCCAGGGGGCACTCAGTCGGAAGGCGACTAGGACTAAGCCCAACACAGAGGGACGAATTCCGGAGCGAATGAAATTTGTTTACGCAGCTCTGATTCCCTCTTTTACTTCCAAGCTTAGTTCCAAAGCTGAAAGTTCATAAGTCTCACGCAATATTACAAGCTGCCCCCCCCCCCGGAGCCACACTGCGCCCGCTTTACCTTACAATAACGCCTATATTCTGTTTCGCAATTTGATTACTCTTCAGGTGATACCGTACTCTGGGCGAACACTCGATTACTTCACGGTCGCGACGAATATCGTAATGTTCCGAACGGTAATCGAACGTTGACCAGTTGCTATTTCTTGGGACATTATCAAATCGGGAGTGCGGACTCTACGGCGAAAGCTCGGTCTGCCTGCGCAGCCATCGGCCTAGGACTCATGAATTGTTGAGGATTCTTAATCTTCTGTTCTGAGGGACGATTGGTTTCACCTCACATCTTTATATCACAGCAATAAATCTATGTTACAATACGATAACAAATTACCTGAAACTATCTTACTCAAATTCGTAACAACATCGATTTAGAAGTCTTCCAAGAACAGTAAGAGAAGCGCAAAAGAGTGGTCGGCATATCATTTTTGATAGTCATGCCTAAGCAAAGGCGGTACATGGTGAAACTGGATGCAAAATGCGTACATGTGGAAATATCTCGGTTCATAAATTTGGACACCAGAAAATCGATATCAAAATGACGCGACGAATACAGAGTGAGAAGTCGGCAGAGGAAATGTTAAAAAAGGAAATGAATGAAAAGAGAGTGATTTATGCGGAAATCTGTAGCACGCTTCTGCACAAGGAGCAATATGGCGGCCAGGGGTCACCTGCGGTATTGCGCAAGTTCCAGAATTTGACGACCCCTTCCTTTTCAGGCGGTATTGGTACGACTCACCATATTAACTATCATGTACTTTCACATAAATTTTTAAGCTCGATCAATGCTGGCATCAAAAGATGCAGTCACCAACATGGAGAAGGGGTGGAGGGGGTCAATCGCGCGCTTTGTCTCGTCAGAGGGAATCGAGGCAAATGGAAGTTTAACATTAATAAGAAGGATTTCAAATCTTTTGCGGTAAAACCAAATACATCATTTTAATCGCTAAAGCATTCTACTTTCAGAAACACGAGGGATTTTGTCGATCACTCAACTTTGCTTAACTCTCTACTCGCTAAAAAACTATTCTTGTCGCAATACATACATCAAAGTTAGAAATTATAAATAGGGTGTCGTTACGAAGAGTATTTGAAATGTTGTGGATGTTCCCATATTTCAAAAAATCGTACCGTTAGTGTTCGATTTCTGTGCACACGGGCGAGTTTTGACATTTCAAACATTATAACTTTCTTACTGTATTAAACTCTTTTTGCAAACGTCTAAGGCTATTAAGAATTAGAGAGATATAGAGCTTCAGAATCAACGGACTGTTAAAATTTTCCAGCGATCATTTGTCTGAGGATATATGTCCCGTCGTTTTCCGGTTTATTCCCACCTTGATTTTTTTCAAGCAATTTTCCCTATGCAGTCGCGAGCCCCCATAACTTCTTCAAATGCTTAAATGTGATGAGAAGGGTAAAGATTGTTGGTTTACTCAGAGGGAGTACTTATAATCACTGTTGAATGTTTTCTGAATCTTTCTTCTTTCAATTTTCTCTAAGGCGTTAGACTCGAAGCAGCAAATGCTACACTTGGTTCGCTTAGATTTTTATTTGATTTATTTTATTATTGATTTGATGTTTTGATTGTTTTTTTACGAGAAGAAACGCACTCGGGTTATACGCCGTGCACCTATCTGTGGGCAGAGTTCGCCCGATATTTGAAGCTTTCTGTTTTCCTAAAGAAGGTGTAGTATTCCGTTGATTGTTAGTTGTATTGTGCTGTTAGTATCGGGCACCACTCTCGTAATATAACATCCCCTCATGGAAACCTGCTCTTACAACTTTGTTATCGGGATTTCAGGGAAATGTGTTGCGAATATCGAAGACAGACCATGTCGTTTTTGTGCATGCGCTTGTTAACATAAGTTTTCAGCCTTTATTTGTGCATTATTGGTTAATTGTTACTTTGTCTTCGCTCGTGCGGAGTTGAGAAACAGCCGGCCACGCGTCCGGATTAGCGTCGGTAATAAGCGAGATGATTAGAGGGTTTACTTTCGGCTGATGCGTGAGATCTTATAGCGCTCTGCATGATTTAATGCTCCATGGCAGCTTCATGTCTGTATGACTCATCCAGATAGCGTGCAGAAAGCTCCTGGATATAGTGCTGAAGGCACTCCCGGAGACTGCAACTTTTCGAGCCGTTGCTGCCGCCGTCTGTGGATAAGACCCCCTCCCTCTTCGGTCGGCTGAATACGACCCCTCGTTGTTCTTTGCGCAACGCAGGGTTGACCCTGTATGCGGCTGATATGCGGTTGATACGCGCGGACAGCGGGATGCGAAGTGATAGGGATTGATAAAGCTTTGCAATGTACTGCCAAAGAAACGATGAAAATCAATTAAATACGTATGTACGTGTAACGAACAAAAAAAACACCCTAAAAGCAGGGTTAGGACTAGGCCCTGGTGAGGGCCTAGGCCTTCGCTGATATGTATGCATTCTCGGAACTGAAAAATTAAGTACAATAGTACTTAAGTACAACAATATTTCAACACAATATGTAGAATTCAATGAATCTAAGACGACTGGAGCACGCTAACGAAACAAAGAAAAGTTTGGCATTAGAGTCTACCGTAACCTCTGGACTTTCAGTATACTGTGTTAGGCTTGCTGACTACTCATGAGGCGTTCATTTAATCGCTCCGAAAATCCTAATTTCTTCAAGCTTATAGGCATATACTAGCCCTTTATTTGGCATGATCTGTTTGTGCATTCTAGTGGACGAATCCTAAAAGAAGTTCTTCTGTGCGAGTCAAAATGATTGGTGTGTTATCACAATCGGCTAGTGGACATGGTGGGTGGAGTTTCAAGGAAATGCGTACGAGTTACCTTGCGTGGTGTCAATATAAGAAAATCAATTCAATTGTAGGGTTCCTTATATTGAGCAACGCAAAGCCTGCCGAGGAGAGACATGGTCGAATAGGAAAGTCACGCTCTCCAGACAAAGGCTACTCGTCCGAAGTAGCGTAAGCCCCGCCCACTTCATCTTCTAGGAGCCCATTCCGACACGCTAGTTGTAAGGGTTCCTCTTGTGACCAGCGTGCTCATTTGGACCAGCGTAAACGTTGTCGTGAAGAGACATGCATGATCGAATGGGGCCAGTCCCTCTAAGACAAAGTCCTGATGAGTAAAATCCCGCCCACTACAACTCGTACGCGCCCATTCCGATAGTATGACAATGACCTGTCCCACAAAAACCAAAACGATCGCGCACAGTAGTAGCCCTTTGTTCATATTGAAAAACTAGAACGACTGAAGCTCGAGGTGGAAAAGTGTGAACTAAGAGGGTGAGAAACGACAGACAAGAGCGGTGATATGACAGGATCGAGTGGACAGACAGTGTGATAGTGAGAAGATGCAAAGTGCTCTTGGATACTCACAGACACGCAGAGAGGGAGGAAGGAGAGGAAGAAAGAGAGTAAGAGGGATAAGGAGAAGGAGGGGGAGGAGAAGGAGGAGGGTATCACAGAAGTCGTCCTTTCAATATGGCATGATTCGCACGTACTCGTCAAAATTTGAATGCGATGTATTCTGTCGCATGAAAGAACAACAAGGGGATGTACGCGGGGTGGGGTGGGGGGGGGGGTGTGCTGACAGCAGTATTGTACTCAGTGTATGGGACTTGGGGAATATGAGTGCGGAGTCGAATCCCTGGGTATCGTTGCTGCTTTGTGATTGTAGCATCTAATCATCTACAAGCTCCTAGTTTCCCATTTCGCGAACCTTCGGGTTAACAGACGCGCGCGAATGGACGTCACTTATAAATAAAATTGACAATAGGATAAAAATGCAACCAGAATGAACGAATGAATCCGAACGGGGGCGGATCCGACTAGATTCCGGATTTGGAGAACGAGACCCGCAGATGAGCGTTCTCGGCCAATTTATGGTTGTGCATGGCGATGAGCGTGTCGATGGCCGTTTTGATCCTCCAATTGGCACAGCGCCATTTTGTGATCCTTCCTGAAACACAAAGTACTGCATTCATCACCACGACTTCCACCGTATTTTCTGGTAACTCACGGGAAGAACTTGAACGCCTTCACTGTGAAACCGTTCGCTTCAAATGTCAGCGTTTGCTCGGAGATGTTTGGTGGAATGTTCGACAGGTGAAGAGTGCAACTGGGTGGATAAATATTCATGTAGTTCTTGCTACCTGGTTTCTTAAAGCGATGTAGCGTCGAATGAGAATAATCTCCAGTAAGACCCGCGTCTGGTTGACCTAAAAATAAGTTTGGGTCAGAATTAGGGTGAAAACAGATTGTTCAATTCGATGGACTTCGCTGGTCACTGCTATTCGTTACCAGCAATATGTTCCGAAGAGCGCAGCACCGTGGCAGAAATTGCACTGGTGGCATTTAAACACATTGACAACAGCTGACGCGGTAACGCGTCCCACTTTGTGCACCTCGTGGGACATTGTGACGCGGTGAAGGCTTCCACCCAATCATCCCAAAGGGAAATCCTACTATATATAATTCGCCTAAGTCTATAAGCCGTTGGCTGTGTGTGTGCTGTGTGGGTGTGTGTGTGTTGTGTGTGGTGTGTGTGATACGCAAATTCACTAAGCTGGGTCATCAGCAATGATAGGTGTGTGTTGTGTGTGGGGTGTGGTGTGTGGTGTGTGTGTAATGTGTCGTGTGTGTGTGTGTGTGTGTGTGTGTGTGTGTATGTGTGTGTGTGTGTGGTGGTGTGTGTCTGTGTGTTGGTGTGTGTGTGTGTGTTGTGTGTGTGCTGTGTTGTGTGTGTGTGTGTGTGTGTGTGTGTGTGTGTGTGTGATGTGTGTCGTGTGTGTGTGTGTGTGTTGTGTGTGTTGACTGTGGTGTGTGTGTGTGTGCTGTGTTTGTGTGTGTGTGTGTGTGTGTGTGTGTGGTGTGTTGTGTGTGTGTTGTGTGTGTGTGTGTGTGTGTTGTGTGTGTGTGTGTGTGTGTGTGTGTGTGTGTGCTGTGTGTGTGTGTGCTGTGTGTGCTGGTGTCCGCAAATTCATAGCTCGGGTCACAGCAATGATAGCGCCATTATTCTTACATACGTATTGTTATAGGGGCTGGGATGGGGACACAAGTGGTATATGATAGGAATTGATAACTGCTGATTATAGCTGATAGGAGGGGCTAGAAAGCGAGCATCGCCAATTTCCTTTTGTCGTTCATATTGGTACTAGAGCGTCTATACTAACAAGTACTATGTGGGGTGGTCCCAGGACATTAGTGGTACATGAATGAAAGCGATAGCAACTGATAAGGGCTGATAAGATGCTTTAGAACCTAGAAGTCGTCGATTCCGTCACTTGAGTCGCATTGGCACCAGAGCAACCATTATTACAAGTGTTATAAGGGGGGGACGAGAACATTCCTGATGGGTGATTGGTAGTGAAACAATCGATAAAGGCTGATAAGGCACGTCAGACGCAAAAGTCGTCGATTCGCTCACGTAGCTTGCGCTGACACTAGAGCGTCCCTGCTTACAAATTCTATTTGTAGTGTATTATTATTATTTGTAGTGGTACGTGCACATTGTATGACCAGCTTAGTTAATAGGGGTCTATTGCATAAACTCAATCAAGTGTTCAGCAAATGATAAGTTTCATTTCTATCACGAATGCTCAAATTCATTGAACGGCTAATCCTTTCGGGGTTCTAAATAATGATGAATGTGAACAAATGATAAGCCTTAGTTCTCACTTATGTAAATAGGCATATTTCATTCTCCTTTTGAAACTGACAGCAAAAGATTCCCCGCTAAATTATCCGAATTAAAGAAGAATGTTGGATGTTAACAGTTATGAGATAAATATGCCAATTCAGCTCCATACGTTATCACGCGTATTTTCGATGGACTTTAACGAAATTGGGAAAGGTATAACACATTCAATAGTGAGGTGGCTAATGAAGGGCCTCATGCTAATATTCCACGGGCCCTCCAGTTTCGCTGAAGCCTGCCATGTGATGCGCGCGATAGCGGACGGAGCAAAACTGGTTAAGTAAAATTTCCCTCTTCATGGCCTTAACCCGTCATTTCGGTCGAACTTCCATTACTGTAACTCCTGATGAACTAGACAGATCGAACATCATTGAAGACATTTCATCGCATCTAAGTATTGCTTATTTACAGCTCAGAATTCATGAATTTGGTGTACGGCGGCGGCGTTTTCAAAATCGCTCTTGTCCCACGCGGTGCAAAAACGCAAAACGCGCGATGTCCTCAGCGTGTTAAATACAATTTGACCTAGACAATAGCCTTTCCAGACAGGAAAATGTACGGGATGTGGGATTCCATAACGTTGCTTCATCTCGAAAGGATTATATATGTTTATTTTTTGAGCAGTGCTTGTCCTTCTACAGATGATGCGGTACCGATCATCCCAGCATGGAGGGAGGGGGGTGGAAGACTTGAGGCCAGACGAACGAGCCAGGATTTAGTTCCATACCGTACGGGTGATAAGCAGTGCCGCTTCCGCCTGACTAATTGTCACAGTCACTTCATGGCGTGACTCGCTAGGATTGTAAAAATGAATAGATGTTTTAGGCAAGGCTTCCATCGTTCTGTACAGTCCCGGAAACAATCGCCTCATACGTAAATGTACAATATAATGTAGTGCAGTGATCGAGCCTTTCATTACTTCTCTGGTGATGTTGAAGGATTTTCTATGCCAATGTTGCCTTTTCTTAAAGGCACGCTCCGGAATTAGGCGCGCTCGCCTATTCCATTCCGGGGATAGTAGAAAGGAGGATGAGCGCTGATGTCTCGCGCCCGTTTTGCCGCTTAAAAGTGCGCGACAAAGGCGCAAGGAGCTCGTCCAACTGTGGCCCTGCCTGAAAGCGCGAGCACATCTGAAGCAGCGGTCCTATTGCAATCCAATGTCTTTGGCACTGGAGCAACTGGAGTTAGGTTCGTGGAACTCGTCCAACGCGCCCCTTCTCTATCCCAAGGTGGATTGTGAAATAGGGGAGGTCTCCGTACGGGACTTAATCGATGGTTTCGTTTGCTTTCCTGCTCTTTTCCAGACCACCTCCCCCCTCTAACTTCATAACTGAACGCTTTTTTATACCTATTTTATCCCGACTCTTGCCTTTAAAGGAATCCTGCGCGGAAAAATCATGATTCTATTTCAGCCATAAATCACTGGCTTGAGACTCATTATCCACAATAATAGTGAAAAGAACTGAAGTATTGCTTTCGTTTTGTTTATAAATTCGAAAACTCGAAAAGGCTGCTACGCGTTTTAATTGCCCACGGACGTCTTTCACAAATGCTGGCGACGGGATGCTCAAAATTGTTTCTTGGAGTGCATTCACTAGAAGCTCTTTCTGGCCTTCAGCTTCGATGCATTCACATCTTGCAGTTCCACTCCATCCTATTCCATCGATCGATTGTCTCCACTCTCCGAAATCGCGCGCTTCAACCCGATTCTCTCAGCGCGTCGCGTGGTACGTAGCCGGCCAAACGCCGTCATCTTTCCATGCCTCGCCTGGCTCTGGCTCCTGGTCCTTCGATGGTCCATAAAGTGTAGTTTTTGTACGTTTGTTTCTCTTCAGAAAACGAATCTTCATGCGTGAAACTTTGTGTGCTATTTCCAGTGATCACAACTGACATATTCATGTTAGGAAAGAGTGCAAGAATTTTTCGCGCAAGATTCCTTTAATATCGTGTCCATGTTGTCGCTTGCTGGACACCCTTCCAGCTCCGGTAGCCAACTGGAATAGGTAATGGTAGGAGCACTGATTGTGAGCACACAGTTGTGGTTGTACTCGAATTGGAGGCTTTTGCTTTCAAAACCTTACTTCAGCCCTTAAAAACGGATTTTGCGATAAAATGGCCGTCTGATGGAAATAAAGGCTGAATGGTTATAGGTTCAGGGTTGAGAAAAATGCAGGAAGAAAGGTTCAAATCTCAGGAGAGACCCCTCTCTTGCCCATTGCTTTCCTTGACGCGACCAGCTACCGACAGTAGCTTACCAAACCACCCTTTGTGGCGAATTCAACCATTTCCTTCAGAGCACTGCACTCCTCTGGAGAAGGTATATTTCCACTTTTTCGATCCCTGGTTTATCGTGGAATCTAATCAATTGTGACTAACAACCGTACCTCGCCATTATTTTGAAAATTTGGAAACGCAAATCTGATTAGTAATGAGGTGTAGTCCTATGCACGAATCTTGCGACGCTGAGCTCATATCCATTTTTAATTTTTGCCGAACGATTCTATGAACGAAGTTATGAGGGTTTCTTCTCACGGTATCTCACTGTGGCGCCCTCTACATCCGTCTATCCCACTTGGCTCTCATAAGAAGGGCCGGAGAGCAGCCATTGCAGCGCGTCTGATGTTCTGATGGGTAGCGCTCTTGCTTCATATGGGTGAGGTCACATGTTCCAATCCTGGAAGGAAGGAGAAGTTTTGAAGGAAAACTTTTGAATTTTTCCAGGGCTCCTGGTACTAACCCAGAAAGAGTTTGTGATCGGGTATTTTGTTGACATGCGCCCCACTTGACACCTGGAGGCTGCAAACTGCGGAATGGCGCGATGTAGAGGGCGGCACAGTGAGATACCACTGTGAGAAGAAACCCTCATAACTTCGTTCATAGAAACGTTCGGCAAAAATTGAAAGCGGATTTGAGCTCAGCATGCAAGACGCGTGCATCGGGCTACACCGCATTACAAATGGCTGAACCGACCAAATGACCATTCCTTGTAAGACGAACCCTCTTTCGGTAACTGAACGTTGTTGTGCTTGGATGGTGCGACTCGAATCACTCGATCGTGCCATCGAATCTTGTCCAAATGCTGCATTGCTGAAATACTAGGATGTAAACTCAATTTTAATTTCTCAAGTAGAAACTATCAGGAAAAATTTCTATATGGCAGTCTGCTGAGCATATTCCTGTATTATTGCTAGATAATTGGACCTATAGGCCTGCTTTCATCAGTGTGTACTGAAATACCAGATGTACCCACCTGACTGAGCTTGTTGTGGTTCCGAGTACTGTATCAAAGCGTTATCCTTTTTGTTGTAGAGAATTTTCACACGAACTACATCACCATAGACACCTGAAATTGGCAGCTTGACGGAGGGATCGACGAGAAGGCTTGTCAATTTCGCAATTGGACCAAAATAATTAATTTTCCGCGAGGAAATCAAAGAATTGGCTATAGTCGGAAAATAAAAATTCACCGAATAGCGTGAAGAGCGCATCGGGCGATACCTTCTGAAAAGCACTTAATTACACGAATAAATAAATGACTGAATAAATGAATAGATCCATTCGAAGTAAAGCCCGTGGTGCAAACTCACATTTTCGTCTAAATTTGACACCAGAACCACGGACGTAATACTGAGTATATTGACAGGGAATCGAAGGGAGGTGAGCGATGATGGGGTGAGACCGCCGACGGCTCCACCAAGTGCACTCAACGACGGAAGGTACTGTGACAGGGCGGTTGCATCTGTAAGATGTAAGCATCAGCAGTAGAGAGGGATAGAAAGGGCGAATGATCACATCAGAGACTTCAGACAGGAGTTTCTGTGCAGGTGGACAAAACCAGCATTTGCCACCATTCGCTTCAAATAGAAGCTTATGTTGGTCACTTCCTTAGACACACATTCCGCTATGGAATAAGTAGAGTGCTAGGTGCTCGAAAATGAACAAATTGTGCTAACTGGTCCAATGATATGAAAGAAATAACTGCTAAGATATGCTGAAATCGTCTAGCGAGGTGATCCTATCGGGGAAGGGGGGGGGGTGGTAGCGCCTTTCTCCACAGGTCAGCCGTTCCTGTTGAGTTGTTTGTTGAATACGAGTGAGCAGAGATGCGCTTGTTGAACAAAGGAAATGAAGATAGCCAATGAGACTTATGGACAGGAGTTCACGCCCCGCCAATAGGATTGGCACGCAATGCGATCTAAGAGGTTTAGCGGCTTTTGTATTGATTCCTGCATCGCTAGGAGGCCGAACACCACGGTGCTTCCGTTTTCAAATGTACTGAAACATACCTACTCAATCATGATAAGTGCCTTTAAATCTGCTATCCTCGCGTCTTGGCAAAAAGTAGCCGATTTTTTCTAGGAAAGTACAAGGAGGTTCTAAGTGCTGATTGAAGTGAAATGGCAATCACATGACAGGGTAAGTGATATAGAAAATGAAGAGATCCTGACGTCAATTCGAACTGTACAGCTGTCAGTCAACTTGATCTTCTTTTCATGATTACTGGTAAATCACAGAAAAGCTTCTTAGCTGGAAGCGGAGTGAATTTAGCAAATCACCTGCTCCTATCGTTGAAGGAATGAATGTGGTTGCCGGATTAGTTCTGAAGGCAAATGAATACGGGGATGCCGTCGGTAGAAGTGATTGAAGACCCGGAATTCCTGAAGAATGCAGAAAAGAATGTAGACCCGGAATCCCTAAAGTATTAAGATTTTGAAAATACGATACCGAAGACTATTGCTCCACTTTTTAAGTGGATATGAGTTCGGGCAGCTCGTCCAGCACTTTTTAGAAACATTTATTTTCCAACAGCTCCGGTAAGAATGATGAGAGCCCAGTGCTTGTAAGGAGCCTTGACACCAACTTCTAACTTCAAATCCAAGTATAGACCGCACACGAGATGTACTATCCAAAGTTGCTTACAAAAGGAGCTACTAGCAAGCACGTTACGATGACCATTCGCAGGAGTAGATGCGCTGCAGCGATGACTGGATTAGATCACCTTGGAGACAAAAATAATCTGGCGCTCAAAAATGCTCTCTTTCAAAGTTGCCTAGATGAGTTGAAGGGACGTTGACACGCGCGTTCGCGTAGCGGAATTAGGTGGGTGCAGACAAAGCAAGTCCCATTCAATTGGTAGGCACTTTTATTAGCCCTAAAGACAAACAGATAGTGGTTCAATTGACTCTATTTTTATTATATATTATTTTTATATTAATGTTATATACTACATTTTTTTTCAAAATAAATACGCTCAATTTTTCCCAGTCTGCACTACTTTTACCTTTCAATATTCATTCAGACTCCATTAGTGCAAACACTCCTCTCACTCTTCCAAACTAATTTTCATCCCTTTTTGAACCCCTAAGTTTCTGATGGGGCGTAAGTGGTGTAGTGGCAAGTGGACTGCTACCACTCGCGCGGTCCGAAGATCTAATCTTGGGTCGTGCGTCGTTCGGGCCGGCCGGTTAGTTGGTACCAGACTTGTCTAGGAGGATAGAAAACCTTTGTACATCGGCTGGTCCCCACAAGTCATTGTATGGGCCAAATCGCATTCATGTGCCACTACGAATTCGAATGGAAGTCCCCTCCCCTTCAAAAAGCCAGAAAATGTCGAGTGCAGAACAAACACCACAACTGACGACGGCCTCCAAGTACATGAATCTGGTGAGTAGTGGTTTATAATGATACCTGATTTTTAGTTAATGATGGTTGTAAATAGTGTCAACTGATCGAATACAGCTGTAACAGGTCAATCATTTCATTGGCAAAAAAGTATTTGCATTTTCTAGAGGCCGTCGTCACTTGTGGTGTCTGGCCTGCACCCGACACTTTCTGACTTTTTGAAGGGGAGGGTAGAATGAGTGCTGAATCCCAAAAGGGGCAACGGCGAAAGCTTTATTTTTGATGATTTTGCTTTAGGTTTCAGAACAGCTGGACTTGAGTGTTGCAATTCAGCAGGTCTAACCGTAAGACTAAAGAGCGATAACTCTTCCGAGGTTGCTTCGCGATCCTTTTTTCGCGCTGCTATGTACAGTACTCGCCGTTTGAAATCGAAAATTCACGCGAATAACGCGACTCCTCGTTAATTTCGTGAATTCGTTGTAAATCGGTTCAAAATTAAGATTTTCAAAATCTGAAAAAAAGCGTTGAACTCAGCTCATCGAGTTCTATAAGAATATGCTTTCAAACTTTTAAGAAGCCCTACTTCAGATTGCGCCATGCACTCGAGCTTTGGATCATTTTTCAGCAGGACAGTTAACCTATCTGGTGAATTTTTCCAATGTTTGAGCGAAGGTTTTTCTGAAATCTGAAGGAGGTAGCAGGGAAATCTCTTCACTGTTGTAGAGCACGCTTACTTGTGTATAGAAATGAGATGATACGCTTCTTGTTAGACGAGCGCTTCCGCCGTACTGTGGCTGTGAACATGCCTCCTCGTCATGCCCTTGTGAAAAGATCAGATTTTTTTGCATTTCCAGACGAGCTCGCAGAACTGAAATGTGACCCGTTAGACTCCCCGTGAACAATGCTATCGAATGATATGCATTACTCTTCCCAGTTGAAACTTTGATTTTTCACCGTTTTCAGCCTTCCCCTATTGCCGATTGGGCACTCACTGTTCCACTGTGTTCCACGGAAGGGAGGCTCACCTGCCACCAAGCTTTCCGTGTAATTCCTACAGAAAAGTGACCGTAGTCTACGCCAGTGGAGGAAATTCGTCGCTGCCTTCACAGCTTTCCACATAACATGTGCTCTAAACATGGAACATGTCACAAAAAATGGGGCGAGGTGTGATGTTTGGGGCCTTAATACGGAAAGAACGCTCATCTTCGACCAAGGTTTTCATGCAGTTCCTACAGAAGAGTCGCCGTAGTCTACGCTGGTAAAGATAATTCCCCGCTGTCTTCATAGCTTTCTGCAAAACATCTCCTCTGAAAATGGAAAATGTCACATAATAGGCCCACCATGCCTGCTGAAAACTGTTCGAAGATTCCACTTGAAATACAGAGGATGGGATATTGAGAGCAGAAGGAACACGTAAAGCCAGTAAGCGCTCAAAAACGAAATGAAAATCTAAGAATTTGGAAAATAACATTCATCTAATCTCACAATGTAGTGGATCAGATTGAGTACGTGGCGCATCCTGGGGTATGTTTTGAGACCCTTCTTTCTGTGTGGCGGTCAGCTCGCATAAGCGGGATTAGATACACACCACATGCGAGCAACTACTTTTTGAGATGAAAATTGAGTGCATGGCGCAATCCAGTGTAGTGCCGCTAGAATACTTTAGGACGAAATCTTATAGATCTCGACGAGCTGAGTTCAAGGCTGTTTTCGGATTTTGAATATCTTAATTTTAAACCGATTTATAACGAAAAAACGAAAAAAAAACGCGAAATCGTCTTTGGCCCCCAAATGACACCAGCATCAAAAATGAATGTCATATTCGTAAGCATCGAATTACCCAAATAGGCAGAGTTTCGACGAAAAATGAAACTGTGAGATTTTGGGGCAGTAACAGTGGAACAGTGAGTGCCCAATCGGCAATAGGGGAAGGCTGAAAACGGTGAAAAACCAAAGTTTCAACTGGGGGGAGTAATGCATATCATTCGATAGCATTGTTCACGGGAATCTAACGGGTCACATTTCAGTTCTGCGAGCTCGTCTGGAAATGCAAAAAAATCTGATCTTTTCACAAGGGCATGACGAGGACGTAAGCAAACCAGCCCTTTTGGCACATCGGCTGGGACCGTATACTGAATGTTGAGGAGGAGATGGTGTCCCCGACGGTGGACGGACAACTTCAACGCGGTCCTTAGAACCGCCACAATTTGGCGCTTACCTTAGAACTGAGCCATAAAGAGAGGACGGGTCGGTCCCCTCTCCTGGGCTTAGTCCAAGGGTGAGCAGACCGGTCCTTCTGGCGAAGCTACTGGACCAGCTGCACCACTTGCGTCAGTACTCTCCTATCGTACCAACCAAGCTGAAGTAAACCGTCGACCGTTGGGGACCTCATCCCCTCCCCAACATTCAGCATACGGTCCCAGCCGATGTGCCAAAAGGGCTGGTTTGCTTACGTCCATGACGAGGAGGCATGTTCACAGCCACAGCACGGCGGAAGCGCTCGTCTACAAACAAGCGTATCATCTCATTTCTACACACAAGTAAGCGTGCTCTACAACAGTGAAGAGATTTCCCCGCTACCTCCTCAGATTTCGGAAAAACCTTCGCTCAAACATTGGAAAACACCAAATAGGCTAACTGTCCTGCTGAAAAATGATCTATGATTTCCATTTGAACACGAGAGGAGGAGTTGTTGAGCTCAGTCATGTACATTTTGAGTCATTTAACGCGCCGCTATGGAATAGGGACCATGAAATCTGAAAAAAAGCAATCGATCCTTTCACAATACAATGAACCATGTAGAATACGGGGCGCGTTCTGGAGCAACTGCTGAGACCCATCTCTCTGAAGAAAGATCGTAATGCATGAGCGGGATTAGTGCACCAAATTCAAACAATTTTTTCTCGAGCCAAAGCTCGAGTGCATGGCGCAATCTGAAGTAGGGCTTTTTAAGTTTGAAAGCATATTCTTATAGAACTCGACGAGCTGAGTTCAACGCTTTTTTCAGATTTTAAAAATCTCAATTTTGAACCGTGTTATAACGAATTCACGAAATTAACGAGGATTCGCGTTATTCGCGTGAATTTTCGATTTCAAACGGCGAGTACTGTACTATCTGGCATGTGGTGTGGCCGCGTCAAAACACTGAGTGCAATTTGTTAGGAACAAGCACAAAAATGACGCGGCGCAAGGTGTGTTTGCAAGGCGTGGAAGAACGATGCCGTGTAGCGTCAAAAACCGGCACCACTAGCATTCTTCTCTTGGAACTGTTTATACAGGTCATGATTTTACGGACATAAAAGTCATGACTTCCATAAGAAAATAATGGAAGAAGAGAAAAAAGATTAGAATGTGCAAAAATCTTGATCTGATGTGTTTCCATCACACTTAAAGGCAGTCGCTATATCAGGGAGGCGGAGCGATGCTATTGACCTCATTAAATAAGAAGCGCACTGGTAGGTCGTTCTAGCCACACCTTCAGCGCGCTGAGGTCTGGCTCATCAATGATCTCCGATGACGTTATTAAAGCCGCTCCGCCCCTCAGCCATCGTGTTCGCTGCCTCAAGCGTGGAGAAATGCGAGTTTGGTTGGTTACGGTGACTTCCACTGAAATGACGACCCTAATTACTATTGCACCGCTACAACATTGTCAGGCTACTTTCCCAAGAATTTCGCATAACTTAAAATAGTGGATAACTCACCGAGGCCCAGCTGTTGTTCGAGACTGATTTCTCCGGAAGGAAGGTTCGGATTCGTATAATCTCGACTTTTGTCATTATTGGATTATCTAGCGCCTTTGTCGCGCATTTTCAAGCCGCAAATGGCAAGGTATGAAAGTGCATAGTTCCAGACCATGTCTTTAGGAGCCGTGGAGAATCGCAATGTTTCTTTGAGGTGCGTACGGCCTATAACTATTATATACTACTCCATTGTATCTATTATTTTATTCTTGCTGTTTACCCTCTCAAGCTAGTTCGGTTCCGGTTAAGCAATACCGAAGGGATGAACATGACTGGCCTTACGGTTATTTGATCTATGGGCAATTTCTTTAACGGTATCAGTTGTTACTTTCTCACAAGGTGAGATGGCCAATGAACACCCCATTCTCATAACTCTTCGCTTAAACTTTTTCGATGAAACAGAAGTTCGATTGATGCTACGTTTCGACAGATTTCTTCTCATGAATTTGTGAGCTTTGGGGAACGTTGAAATGTAGCTTAACCTTTCAAATAATCTGTTTTCATTCAGTCGCTTACAAGCCGCATGTAGGGCTGCTAATTGTTATTCACGTAGGCTTAAGCTAACTGTTTACAACACGAAATCAGTTTTTGAAAGGAGTTCCGCTATTCTCGGTAATATATTACTTTAGGTGAAGGCGCTATTGATTACTAACAGTGTTCGAAGGATCAGACCATCACTTGTTCTGGAATTAATTTTACTGGCATCGATAATGACGTCAAGTAGAAAAGTCATTAGTTCGCCGATCAAGACATATATGATAAACCAAATGGGGTTGGAGGCCAAAAAATCGCAGCGGCTAGTCCAGGCCAGCCAAGGATGCATTAGAAAAGAGAAAAACTTGGATTAATCCCATCCCACCATCTTTTTGACTCACTGTTCATACCATGGCCCCAAAGCCTTGCCTATTTTGAGCTTTCCTCACTACAAAATAAATACTCCGAGGTGATCACTCATTTATGTAGAAGGGTAAAAATTGCTGTTCGAACACCGTGTACCCCTCGAAGCAGATGCATAGAACAGTGATCCTGTCATACTTGTCCGAGGTCCCAAGTGGTAGTCGTATGCGTGGCTCATATTAGATTAGTTGCTAACGCGGCTTAGTTTGTTCTTGGTTTGTTATATCATATTCGTTTAAGAAATGTATAGCAGATTATTATTTTTCCATAATATTTCTTTTATAATAATTCTATAACTTCTCTTGATCAACCTCGTTAACCCAAGCATTTCATTTTCTTCAGGCTCTTCACGACTTCCTTGAGGCTGTATGCATGGTCGGAATTGCGGTGATCAAGGATGGTCCTGTGAGCACGAAAAGAGTCGTTCCAGATATCGGAGAGCGAATTGGGCAGATTCAAAACACTCATTTCGGGTACGTGAGCATTAATTCATTTTTCGCCATACAATTTGGCAGTAAAATGTACTCGGACAATCAGCGATTTCATTTCTATCGATTAGCTCCAAATGTCGACATTTATGCGATCGCGAAGGGCTCGAATGGTATGGAGGGGAGGTCCTCCAGGATTACCACACCAGAATGAATGTGGTTAATGCTCAAAATTAGATGAGCTGCTTCTCGAGTGGGTACTGACCGGCTGGCTCTCGCTGGGACCAGCGCTCTGCATGCTTCTCGAAGAAGTTGCTGATCTCAAAAGGAGTGGCAGAATCAAAATCTCCAAAGGAAACGAGGAATTGAGTGCTGACGCGCGGAAGGCCGGTCCTCATGACCCGAAGCAGCTAATCTGGCTTAGATATGGAATTTCCAGAAGATTTGTTCAAGAAAGCCATCTGAATGAAACCACCATTGACAAAGAGACGTATGTGTCCCGTGTTCAAATGTGTGTAGATTTTAAAATTCAAAGCAACTGTGGAATCAGTGAGTCTTCAACAGCGACGTAATTTGCAAAACTGGCGTAAGAGGCCGTTAAAGGTAGTAGGGCGTAGAGGAGGTGTATTCTGCGAATCATGCGGCAGAAATATCCTATTTTCCCTCCTCCCTCCTCTCCCTCTCACTACATCTCACATACTCCCTTCTCCGTACGCCAGTCCAATGACCACTGACCAGCAACACAGTACCTTATTAAGGGCGTTTCAGGTAGAGTTTATTTTGTTTCTTTTTTCGGCGCTCATGTCCTTGGGAGGGAGGGGGGGGGGACATTCGAGTTAGTAACCCAATTACTGTGTTTTGGACTGAGCCCTGGAGGAGAAGGAATCCTGGGGGAACAAGTGAGCACTTGTATTCTCCCTGGTATTCTCCCCCCTTGCATGGCTTTGTTTTATGTGGAATCACCTACCATCGGCTCTGTTTCGAATTTCCTTCTCTCACCCCCCCCCCCCACTTCCCTCCCCAAGGACCTGAGCGCCCTTCTCTGTTCTCGTGTCAGACAACCGCTATTGTTTCATATGCGAACCTCCCTGTCTGCAACATTTTATCGAAATGTGTTCTCCCCATCAGCTGGGCTATCATAATTAAATAGGGATAAGGGCGGGTAGAGGGCAATGCGGTTTTGATGACGTCGTTGAACGTCTTTGGTCGACTAGATCATTCAGCTCGTTGGGGCTGTGGTGTAGCTGGATACTTCTTTTTTTAACGCCCTCCCATCAATGATCTTCAATGACGTCATCAGAACCGCAAAACCCCCAGCCATCGCGATCACTGCCTTTAGCAACGCATTTCTTGAGTCGGTGAAAGGTTGACCAAACCTAACCCGTACGTTTCACGATTCGATCAGCACTTTTCTGCAGGACTCTCCTTTGAATCAGTAAAACTTATTTGACTTCTTGCAAACCGTCTGGCAATGAATAGTCCATTAGTGATCTTTATTGATCATGGTAATGGCGAACGACTTGTTTCTTAAAGCTTGAAAGAATCAGCAAACCTCATGAGCGCTTGAAATACTACCTATTTGTTCTGGAAACGGTGTAGGTGCCGTTTGTCCTGTAGGCTTTGAAATTCATGCAAGAGCGCTGACATCATTCGGTTGCTACCATTTTCTACGAGTAGTGCAGCTGCGAAAGCGGAGAGGAATCCATGGTTTTGAAGTCCGGGAATCATGGACACTGCCGTTTTGCCAAGGAATCGAAGATCAAGTGGACCGGACTCGCCATGCGATTTTGCGATGACCGTTCGACCAAAATGGAGACGAAGGACCAGACGAATCCCTTGGGTTGTCAATGAACACTTGGGCGATTGCCGGCACGATGGTCTTGACGACAGCTCTGAAGTAACGGTGTTTCCCCCGAGCGAAGAGGTTTCATTGAGCTACTTCTGTAGCTAAAACAAAAAAACAGGGACGAATGGAGACGTTGGTTGCATCCGTTGGAGCAAATCTTCGAAACGGCAGATAATACTACATGCTGCAGTATCTAATGCCTGTCCAGCAACAGATTCCACTACTACTCGTTAGTGGGTGGCTAAAGTAGCACGAGAAATTTCACTGAAATTGGCGACAGTAAGCAAGAGCTGTTTAATGCGCAGGGTATTTTCGGGTGATGGAACAAACTTTCTTCGGCAGATAAAAGTTATCAAAATGTGGAAATGCTCGGAAAAAAAAAACAGAAAAATGTCTGAATGTCTCAAAAAGCTGTCTGTCCGAGTACTTCTAATTGTACTGAATGCCGTTCCCAGTACGCCAAAGCGACCAGATCCAACAAATCCTTTTCTTTCAGGAGGGTATTTGAAGTGTCAACTAAAGCCGATGTCAGCAATATCGCATTACGCTTCGCAGAGAGCGGTTGCCCATTCCACACCGATTTACATCGCTGTCTGATCCTTCGCACAGGTATTGCTTTCCCTGATAAAGCCTTATATCAGGTCACTGACAATTTGTACGCATTCCCAGCTTCAAATAAAAAAATAAAAAAAAAGAAAAGGATGCACATGGTTGAGCGCGTGAACAGCCGGTGGCTCAATAGCATGTTTGTCGATGGTTTGTGCACGTGGCAAGCTGTTGTCAATGAACACTTGGGCGATTGCCGGCTCGGTGGTTCTTGACGACAGCTCTGAAGTAACGGTGTTTCCCCCGAGCAAAGAGGTTTCATTGAGCTACTTTTGTATAAAACAGGGACGAATGGAGACGTTGGTTGCGTCCGTTGGAGCAAATCTTCGAAACGGCAGATGATACATACATGCTGCAGTATCTAATGCCTGTCCAGCAACAGATTCCACTACTACTCGTTAGTGGGTGGCTAAAGTAGCACGAGAAATTTCATTGAAATTGGCGACAGTAAGCAAGAGCTGTTTAATGCGCAGGGTATTTTCGGGTGATGGAACAAACTTTCTTCGGCAGATAAAAGTTATCAAAATGTGGAAATGCTCGGAAAAAAAAACAGAAAAATGTCTGAATGTCTCAAAAAGCTGTCTGTCCGAGTACTTCTAATTGTACTGTATGCCGTTCCCAGTACGCCAAAGCGACCAGATCCAACAAATCCTTTTCTTTCAGGAGGGTATTTGAAGTGTCAACTAAACCCGATGTCAGCAATATGGCATACGCTTCGAGGAGCGCGTTGCCATTCCACACCGATTTTACATCGCTGTCTGATCCTCCACAGGTATTGCTTTCCTCATTTAAAGCCTTATATCAGGTCACTGACAATTTGTACTGCATTCCCAGCTTCAAATGCTGCACATGGTTGAGCGCGCTGAACAGGGTGGCAATAGCATGTTTGTCGATGGTTTTCACGTGGCAGAGCAGGTTTGCTTATATTTCATGACTTATTTAAAGCTAAATGAATGATGGAATGCCACAACGACACCAGGTAGACAATACACTGGGGTATCCGACAGGAGGCCCGCCGCGCGGTGAGAAGGCGAAGGCGCGAGTGGGTCAGCGGACGAGTTGCTACGTGTACTGTAGTGATTTGGCGTCAACTCGGATAGAATGTAGTATATTACGTCCCACATCGCACAACACGCGCTACAACTCGTCCGCTTACGCGCGCGCGTCTCTGTCTCCACTCCGCGCGACGGGCCTCCTCTCGGATACATACACTATATCACCCTGACGTGGGTGAGTCGTAAATGCAGACTTGAACATACACTGCCTCCCGCATAATTTAAAGCCACTATTGTTTTCTAGCAAAATTTTTTCCTAAGATGCGTATATGGAAAAGGATGTAGGTATGAATGTTCTTTTGTACACCAGCACAAAGTTCCAGCTTTGAAATTTGAAGAGTGTTTTTCTGCAATTTTTCGAAAACGCCGCTCTGACCTATTCCGCATAATTATAAAGCCACCCCATACTTTCTCGTTGCCTTTCCTTCCTGCTCAATTGAATTTTTTTGTTGTTATCCACACTTCGTCTTCAGGTGAAAACGAGAGGAAAACCGTCACCATAATTTGAATAAAGGGAAATCGTAACAAAAATCGTGAAAGAGTTGAGAGGCAGTCGCACTGCCCAAATTTCGGGCCAGCTTCGCTTCAGAGTAAACAATTTCTTCGAGCATAGTGTAGGATATGGAGTATGATTGAGCCTTGGAGATCGTCCTTTGCTTTCGGATTCAGATACACGCCGTCTCATGAGAAAATCAAACACTTCCATCAAGTTGTGCTCGAAAATCAAACCTTAATTGGACTTAAATTCTCCAACCGGTGTCTGTTCAGCGTCTGTGGCAGAACTGCAGGTTCATTCGCGAGTGAGAAATGTAAAGCGCATTGTTTATGACAACAGAACATCTCAAAAACTGAGACAGTTTTGTCAAGAAGTGAAGCCGACCTGACTGGAGTGAGGGCGGTTCTTTACCTGTCATTTCCTACGCCTTGTCTTCTTTTCTCGAAACATTTTCTTACTCTAGATAACTTCTTCTTATGGAGAAGCGTATCCTGGAGATGAAGAACTTTGGAAGAAAGCCAGGTGTATCGTGAAAAATGACTCCTAGTGACTCGAATGACTCCTATCACTATCAGCATTCTTGTGAACTGAAGCTACCGTCATCACCCAGATATTTCTCCGATATTGGTAGTCTTGAACGCTAGTTGTTCTACCGGCGGTCTGCAGTCGGTTCTATAGCATCATTTTGGTTTACGAGTGATTCGGCTCCATGCCCGAGTGGACGAATCCGTCGTCACTGGCATACAACTGATGAAAAAGAATCGAATGAAGCGAAGGCCTGCCACTAAGTCTTATTTCATCTCAAGGATGTGTTTGATCGCCCAGCTCGTTCAGGGATCTGGAAGGAGTTCAGAGAACAGAAGGCTACAGAACATCACGGTAGGGGTGCATCATCATCTCTACCAGTCCTCTTCCTGCTAACCTTCGTGATTGAGGGATCGCTGAAGGTTAGTGATAGTCATTCCCTACGCAGGCAACATTCTATGATAGCGGATAGCAGCGATTGTAAAGCACAAAAACTAAGTCCCTGAACCCGGATGGGATGGTCGATCGGGACCAATTCTCTCAGCCTCTTGAAACGTGTGTCGCGTGGTCGTCCAGTTTGAAGGTGTGGGCGGAGTACTCCTGTTCCATGTGTTCTTCTGCAGTCATGGTATGGAACTGTACTCGTCTCCTCAATCCTAATGTTATAATACGGATGGTTTCTCAGCTTTGAAGGCTTTTGAGTGCCGTGCATTCATCAATTTGGTAGCTACGGCCCACAAGATTAGCTACTGGGTAAGCTTTCAAGTGTGATGATAGATGTGATGAGCGGCTCCATAGAAGGGAGAGATATGGGATTAGCTTACTGGGGTGCACACAGTTATGCACATCTCATCAAAAAGGCTACCTTTACCTATTCTGTTCCCTAGTTGAAGCATTCAGTGTGCTAAGATTAAATAAACAACAAAGTAAATGACAGTATTCGCTAACAGCTTATACATCAAAATGTGAAGGTATAATAAGGACATTCTAGAGATATGGATTACAAAGAAGCCATCGGTACTTCTTTCAACAGTGATGTATGTATGAAGCCTAAATTTATAAATACTCGGAAAGCCCCTTGAAATGAAGCCGTATAAAGGTAAAATGAAGGATTTCGCTGCTGCGGGAATCAAAATGTCATCTGGTTCATATTTTTCAGCTAGGCTTACGCTCGGTATCTGATAACTATCATATCCTCTTAATGGAAGCGAATACGATAAGTTCTATAGGGGGTTGAAGGGGACGTGGGAGGCACAAAGGCACGATAATGGTGGAAAAAGCAGAGAAACCCGTCAATAAAACGTGAAAAGGGGACACCCTTTTGTGGCCGTTGATCTTTGCTCAAGGACAGGCAGCGGCTAAGACGGCGGATATGGATGAATGACCGCAACGCGTTTGATGGCATCATGCCAATGCGCTCCATTTGATTGCTTCAGCGATTGCCGTTGCTGGCAACACAACTCGTCCAATAACACTCTAACCTAGTTGACGGTTTCTTTTGGGGCGGAGAGCTTTCGGCGTCCTGCTAAGAAAGCAGCTCACCTTTCTCCGTGAGAGCGCCACATTTCGCTCCCATGGCAGCCAAGTAACTGCTTTATGTGGCGCATATACAGTAGCGGTCAAAAGTCTTCGCCGGAATCCTTCTTCGACTGTAACTTTTTTTCTGCTGAATTAAATCAGTTCAAATTTTGATATGTCTTGGAGACAGTCCCACTTCACTTGAATGGCACATTTGTTTCGGATGGAGAAAGAACAAAGAATGGAAAAAATCATTTCAATGGGAACTCTCGAGTATGAGCAAACTCCAGTTAAGTTGCAAATCACCGTAGAAAGCTTCTAATTCAACAAAACGATCTTAAGCATGATGAATAACATTGAGCAGAACGAATACTACGTTAATCATCGTCTGACGTCGCTGAAACCTTAGCAAGGCCTAGTAAGGAATCAGTCATTGAAGACACTGTCTACTAGGGCAGCTTCCTCCACTTCTCTTGAAATTTGACGAGTTTCAGGCCCATATTTCCGGCTCTTATTTGGTATCAGGTGTGAGGTAGTGATCAAGAGGTCATTTTTGACCAGAGTCCCTCTCCCGTCCTTTACCACTCAGTTCTACCCAAAATCCGATTGTCTAATATATGATATCTCAACTTTTTTTTCAGAGCGCTGAAAACATTTAGCGATTACTGCTACAGGAGAACATTCTAAAGTTCGCTCTCGAGAATGGTGAGTACCCTTTTATGAATGTAAGAGGGAGGATACCGAACCTTTGAGTTTATATCCAATTGTTTTCACGGATATTGCTACAACCTTGAAAAAATAGTTGTCGTACAGAATGAGTGGTGTTTTTATTCCTAGTATGAAAGGGTGTCAGTGGTGCAGCACCTAGAGACGTCGTATCGCCCTTCTACGACTCAAAAGATCGATTTTCAATTTATAAACTTTTAGTCAAGTGGCTACTTCGTTTCAGTATGATGAAATTTTCATAAAAATGTTATCAACAGATTGTCTACTAGGTCGATCACAGTGTCATTGTCTACCCAGGCGCGGTGTACATAAGGCCTCATGTACTCGGCCTAGACCTGCATACCCTCGACGCAAACTGATACGCGGCGGCAGTTTATAGCAGAGGCAGGGTGAAATCGGTGTCGAGTACGTGAGTCGCAGAAGTACGGACCCCCCCCCTCGTCCCACCCGAAATGAGATCCTGGTTACGACCCCCTATACAGAGCAACATTAATTCAATTAATTAATCAAAATAAATCCTGCAGAACAGATCAAAAAAAAAATCCTGCAAAATAATGTTATGGAGCGCCTCATCTTGTCATCTATGCACTGTCTTTCATTCGCTGCACACTTTTGTGTATTTACTTGAAAACGACTGCGAGGAAAGAGGCATTAACTTTGTGTGACTCAAAGTCAGGTGTTCGTTCAGAAATGCACAGAAATCCTGAAGGCACGGTGGCTTGCGATTTAATCTTAATTCTGCCCTTGAGTATATCGAAACAGCCGAGTGTGTCAATCAACGGCCGATTCAACGGCCAGCTGCGGCGGCGATTGTCACTGGTTCAGTTTGCTGAAATCCCGAAAAAAACCCGTCGAAATCTACACCTCGATAAAAGGTTTGCATTCTTCCATTTCTATAACCTTTGGAAGCAGTTTGAGGTGGGTTTTAGATAGGGCTGGATTTCCGCGTTTCCAAGAGTATTGAAATTCGCTCTGAAAGTCTTCGATGCAGAAGATAGGTCTCTCAAATTTCGGTCGATGAGTGACGAGAGCGGAAAATTTTCACGGCAATTTTTTGCCACTTCAAGAGCAATCTTTCTCATAATGTCGTAAGGTCCTGAAAAAATGAGACAGTTTTGGAAGCGGAAGCGTTTGCGCTTCTTAACGTGCTGTTTCGCTTTTCTAAGCTTCTGGTTGAGAGATAATTGCGTCGAGAATTACCGAGGACGGATCGGCCACCTAAAAACCGCTCCTCCTTCACCATTGCAAGTGTGATTCGTTGGCAACGCTCGAATGTGTCAAGAACGAAATCTTTCAACGCAAGCAGATAAGAATAGGGGCAATCGTCATCATCCGATTTCGTATTGGTATAGCATGCATGCGTCCTCCACTCACAGTTGCAGAATCGATTGAAAGATGTTATATGGTGGGACTTTGAAACAGAATGTATTGTGCGTAGACATAGTGTGTTGTGCTATTCCTGTAACAAAAAACAACCTATTGCCCAGCGCTTTTTCTTCACGGTTGTCGTGTTTTGCGACAGGGTCCCTAACAAACATTGTCATTCTCAGCGAGGTATAAAGGAGAAGGAGCGAGCGATAGGCAGAGGAGATGCCTTTGCA